AAACTCCAATTTAAGAGGAAGCCAAAATGTGAATGAGAGAGAGGGGAAGGGGAAAATTTTGGCTCCCCTTCTTTTCAACATTTCTAACCAAACAAAATGAGGGGTTCATTTTCCCTCTTATCTCCCATAATCTCTCTTTCGACCCGACACTCTTAAAATTATTGTGAAGCACTTCACACTTGAATTTTATTTCCAAAATTACAGCAGAATGCAGAGAAAAGTAGGTGGCAGAACAAAAGGAGGGCAGACAAAACCAGGTGGCACAACAAAAGGATTTGGGTACAAACAGGCAGGCATGGATCATGATCGGCATGACCAAATCCTGCTCTACTTATAGCTGAGAGATCACTGAACGTACCAAATATTCATCGTCCTTTGCCCTACTTTCTTAATGGCAAAACCCAGCTTCTGTCCTTTTCTCTCTCAAATTTTAGCCTTAGTTGCCTAACTGCCTACTCCGTCTTCTTTTTAAATCAGATCTTGGAACTCTTTTCAGAATGAACTTCCTTTTCCCCAGTTTCGTTTATGTAATGGCAGCCAATACGCAAATTAATAACAAATGGGTTGTTGGTCTTCCATTCCGGGTGAGGTGATTTATTGTGTTTCAATGATTTTAGTTACTTAGCTTGTGCGCGTGTTTGCTGATATGGTGATATACATATATGATGTTATTTTATACCTGTGATCCATCATTTGTTTCAAAATTCGTGCACCCAAGTGAGATATGGCTTGAGTTAAAATCTAAAAAGGATGGAGTAATGTGACCGCAATTCATGGGTAATGCAATATATTGCCAAGGACGCTTCATAATAAAACGTACTTGTTCAGTTGTTTGGTCTAAGTTCACCTGTTTACAGCACAGGTTTTTTTTTACCCAATCATAAAAGAACAAAATCAAAATTACAAATAGAAAAAGGGAGCACAGGTTCAAAGCATTAAAATTAAAACAGAGAATCAAATCCATTATTTATCTTGAACCGACTCTTTCTCTGCACAATCAGTACGGCTGCTGCGAATGAAAGCTTTTGTCCTGGACTCCTAGTCTAGAAAGTCTAGAACTTAGTCCCACATCGGGAAGCGACGCTTTGAGCACAGCGGAGAGCAGATATAAAAGCCAAACGACCCACCCTCACAAAGCATACCTTTCTCGGCCTTTTGGCTAAGATCAAGTGTAGTATCTGTTCTTATCAGTTTAATATCTGATACGTGGGCCATCGGCCCACATGATATTAAATTAATTTTTTGAGGGGGAGGGCCCACCTCAGTAGCTTGCTACTGGGGCCCTTGCGTGTCGCCCGTGCGTTGCACTGCTGCGCGGGCCTGGCGCACCCCACCAAGTCTAGTTTAAGCTTCCTATCTTGTGAGCCACGGGGGTATAATGTTTTCTACATCATTTTAAATTTAAATTTAAATCTTAAATGTAATTTTTTTAGTAATAAAAATAATAAAAACAAAGAATATATTTATTAAAACGAAAAATTAATTGACATATATGAATGATTTAAATTCAATTCGAACCTTTATGGTTTCATAGTCATGTCGTATTTCCGAAAATAAAAGTTGTTTATAAGCCTGTTTGAATCCCACGAATTATTGGGTGCTTGATTAAATGAGAGAACTTTTGGCTTTTTTACCCACATGCTATAAACAGTAAAAGCAATTACCAAAAATAAAATTTTTTTACCAAAATGCTGCAGGAGAAATCGTTCACGGTGAGAACGATTTTGGATTTGCAAAGAAATTGTTCAGCACAGGATGAATTTGCCTTTCATGTGGTTTGACGTTTATTTTTTTATTAAAATAAAAAATTGAAATCAGTTGCCTCAATGAACGATTTTAGCTTCACCTCTGACACCTATTTTCACTACTATTTCCCACATTTTTCCTCCGCCTCTACCCTTCTTATCATCTATTCTCCACCTTTTTTTTAAAATCATTTTCCTTCATTTTTTTTTGGGTTATTAATTAATTCTCAGAAAAACGCTCCCCCTCATCCTCTTCTCCGTAAAATAATTTTATTTTGATGAACCATTTCATATTTATTTTCATCCCCACTTGTACAACGCATGATCCATATAAGAATTATACAATAATAATTAGGAAGGTTTATGCAACATATGTTTTAATTTTAAAATAAGTCAATATATTTTTTTAAAATAAAAGGGATGTTTTTGTAAATATGAATGGCTGGAAAATAGGAATGATTCCTCCTGCAGCATTTTGGCAAAATTTTTTGATCTTATAGCATCTTGGTAATTACTTTTACTGTTTATAACATGTGGGCAAAAAAGCCGAGAACTTTTTATTTGAAATTACCGTCAACCACGCCTTTTGCCTTCACTTATATTTTTCTGAAATAAACATGCATGCAATTTCGTGGCACACGCGCCCTCTCAAATAATACTAAGAGAAAATTGCAAATAAAGACCTTTTAATATATAAAATAGTAATGAGAGACCCTAAATTTGAAAAATAGCTGGAAAGGATCGGGTCCCAAATTACAAATACAAAATCTTGGTTAAAAGACAAAAACGTCCTTCTGCTTTTCATATCATGTTGCCATATCCATCTCTCTCAATTTCTTTTGTGATCTCTATTTTCATATGCTCCATCCTCACAAATTCACCTTCTAAAACTTTAATTGCATTCACCATCTCTCTCACTAGATTCCTCTCTCTTTCTCTCTCTCACCCACAATGATAAAGATGATGAGGCTCGTTATTAATCACCTGGAAGTTGCTTTTTGTTAAAAACAAAAACCCAATATCCATTCAATGCTTCTCATAATTTTGATTATGAGCTGTGGGCAGTAACTAAAGGACACAATTCATTTAATCGATCGCGAGTAATAGTATGCCACCTAATGATATTAGGAACTAGGATCGATCGTCACAAACCCACCTTCTATGGATAGCTAAAAAGTAGGAACTATTATATAAGATCAACTAATGATATTTAAGCTGAATGGAAATGGTACGCCACCTATTTAGTATTTGAATGTAAATTGATTGGGAGCAACATTGTGATAAAATAAGAAGGCAAATTAGTCTTGATGTCATTTTGATTCTCATTATAACTTTGTGCCCACCATATGGATGCTCCAGATTGAACCTCAATCTTCACAACATATATATAGCAACGTTGTAGAGCTATTTAATTCTCATTTTAACAGAAAAATTTAAAATTATACGAAAACCTTATCAGAACATGTCATTGGCCTAATTGAACTTGTCATGAATCCTATATCAGAAGTGCTTGCTGTCAAATAAATCTGCAAATTCTCATTTTAACAAAAAAATTTAAAATTGTATGAAAACCTTATCGGAACTTATCATTGGCCTTACTTAACTTGTCATTGACATAATAAAACTTGTCATGAATCCTATATCAAAAGTGCTTGCTGTCAAAGAAATCTGTAAATTCTCATTTCAACAGAAAAATTTAAAGTTGTACAAAAATCTTATCGAAACTTGTCATTGGTCTAACTGAAATTGTCATGAATCTTATATCAGAATGCTTGTTGTAAAAGAAATATGCAAGTTCTCATTTCAACAGAGAAATTTAAAGTTGTACGAAAACTTTATCGGAACTTGTCATTGGCCTTATCTAACTTGTCATTGGCTTAATTGAAATTGTCATGAATCCTATATTAGAAGTGCTTGCTGTCAAAGAAATCTGTAAATTCTCATTTCAACAGAGAAATTTAAAATTGTACAGAAACCTTATCAGAACTTGTTATTGGCCTTACCTAACTTATCATTGGCCTAACTGAAATTGTCATGAATCCTATATCAGAAATGCTTGCTGTCAAAGAAATCTGTAAATTCTCATTTCAACAGAGAAATTTAAAATTGTACAGAAGTCTTATCAGAACTTATCATTGGCCTTACTTAACTTATCATTGACTTAATGGTGGACACAAAGTTATAATGAGAATCAAAATGACATCAAGACTAATCTCCCTTCTTATTTCATCACAATGTTTTTCCCAATCAATTTGCATTCAAATACTAAATAGGTGGCATACCATTTCTATTCAGCTTAAATATCATTAGTTGATCTTATATAATAGTTCCTACTTCTCAGCTATCCATAGAAGGTGGGCTTGTGACGATAGATCCTAATTCCTAATATCATTAGGTGGCGTACTATTACTCGTGATCGATTAAATGAATTGTGTCCTTTAGTTACTGCTCACAGCTCATAATCAAAGTTATGAGAAGTATTGAATGGATATTAGGTTTTTGTTTTTAACGAAAAGCAACTTCCAGGTAATTAATAACGAGCCTCATCGTCTTCATCATTGTGGGTGAGAGAGAGAAAGAGAGAGGAATCTAGTGTGAGAGATGGTGAATGCAATTAAAGTTTTAAAAGATGGATTTGTGAGGATGGAACAAATAAAAATAGAGATCACAAAAGAAATTGAAAGAGATAGATATGGGAACATGATATGAAAAGCATAAGGACGTTTTTGTCTTTTAACCGAGATTTTGTATTTGCAATTTGGGATCCAGTCCTTTCCAGTTATTTTTCAAATTTGGGGTCTCTCATTGCTATTTTATATATTAGAGGATATTTATCTGCAATTTTTCCTAATACTAATAATAATAGTGTAAAATAGGGGAAATAAATCCTGAAGTTAGCAGGACAGTGTCCAGGGTCCCCACCTAACAAGATGAAATGATGTCACTCTCGTAATAAAATTTCATAATCATCTTTAAATCGTGCCCAAAAATAAAATAATTGTGTAATAATTTTCAATAAATGATTGAGATTAGGAATTCAGGTCTGGAGAAAAAGCAGCACTCAATAACAGTGATATTCATGCTGTATAAATAGTTAATCACAGACCCAATCTTTCAACTTTCCAATTTTTCCCTAATTTTCATTGATAATTTTTATTATAATGTCAAAAATTACCGTTTTCAATATATATATATTTATTAAAATAATCGTACTATACACATGAGAATCTCTGTACAATAAATAATTCCAAAAACATGTCGGTATTGTGGACCCCATTCTCTTCGAAGTCATTGGACCTATCGGCCCTATTATACTCAGCCCATCTCCTTCTTCTCTCTGCTCACTCTCTCTCTCTCGTTTTTAAGGAACACACGCGAACACTTTCCATGGGTCCATCCGGTCGGAATCTCCGCCCTGACTGTGCTTCCTCCTCTTCCTCCGCCGCCACCAACTCACCTTTGCGACCAGCATTCGATGTACTTGACGTTGATTGTGATGGAAAAATAAGCTACGACGATCTTCACTCGTTCTACAACAGGTTTTGCCACCATGACGCCCAAAAACGCGACGTAATAGGGTCGATGATCACGGTGGCGGACACCAACGGAGACGGGTTTGTGGAGTACGAAGATTTCGAGCGCGTGTTGGAAATGGGAGGCGGTGGAAAAGCCGCATGGGATGGTGGATTGATGATGAAGGAAGTGTTCAGAGTGATGGACAAGCACGACGGCGACGGCAAGCTTGGCCACAAAGATCTGAAAAGTTTCCTGGAATGGGCTGGGATCGCCGTCACCGATCAAGACATCGACGATATGATCGCACTTGGCGGCGGTAACCGAAACGACGGTGTGAGCTTGGATGGTTTCATTGGGATACTAGGTGGCCTTGCATCTTGATGTCGTCGTCGTCGTCAACGATTAAAGATATGTTTGGATGAGTAGTGGGCAAAAACTTTTGTTGTAACTTCAGTGTAATACGGTGTATGTTTGGACAGGTATTTATAAAAAATTAGTTGAAAAAATTAAAAATTATTTAGATGATTAAATAGAAAAGTGAGTCAGTTATAAAATGATTGAAAAAAACATAAATTTTATTAAATAGTAATGTTTGATATTTTATATTTTTAATATAATGATAGTTAAAAAAATATTTAAAATTATTATGATAAAATAAAAATATTTGTTTCTGAGAAAAGTTTAAAAACATATTGTAGATAATTAATTAAATATATATAATGGATAAATATGAGAATTAAAAATTGTTTTAATTTGTGTTAAAAATAATGTACTATTTTTAATCCTTGATATTCAACCCATAATTAATTTGAAAAAGTTAAGAAAGTTATTAAATTATCTAATTATAACATATATAATATGATCTATCTAAAATATTCATGTGAATCATTATATTTTACACTAATTTATGAATGAGACAAATTATTTAAAAAAACTATAAATATAAATATTTTAAAACAATAACTCAATGTATAGTTCTCTTTGCTTTGTCTTAATTTTATGTCTTTTATCTTTTTACTTCTATTTGTATCTTTTCCTTTCCCATTAGAGAATTGTGAGGGGCCACGCAAGAAACACGTGGGACTGCAAACTTTCACTATTCATATCCTCATTCAGTAGTTTGGAATACACTGTTCTTTGTCATTTTCCTCAATTGGAGGACCGCGACTGAAGCAAGAAAAAAGAGTGGGGAGGTGAGAGCTTCTGGTCATCTTCTTCTTTATAAGGTGAGTTTGATGGGCTGTCCAAAGATGTTAGCAATGGGGACTAGTTCATGCTACTGAACCTTCTTCAAGTGCGAGTTAGAGAAAGAGATGAGAGAAAGAGGCCACCAAGTTAATTTGATTCTTCTTCAAGTTCGACAAGTTTGAAAGAACAGAAAGAGAAGGGCAAATCTAGATAAATAAATATAAGTAACGGTAGATTGGCTTTTACAACTACCTAACGTTATCTAAAAGTTTAAAAATAACTTTCATTAGCATTGGAATGCAACTGGTTTTTGGAACAAAAGTTGGTTGAGCTAAAAGCTCATCCAAACAATCAATAATACCTAAATAAGTTCTAATCCTCAATTTCACAAATTTTAAGACACTTTTGCAGTTTCTAATGACAATCCAAACACGCCCTAAGTGTCATGTCTTTTCCAATCGCTGTCTATCAATGAGAAAATCAAAATGATGAGGTGGAAGATGTTCACAATAATGAACTGTTTGAAAGTAATGCAAATTGTAATTTGAAGTAACCTGAATTGACAAAACACCACACGTAATGTAATATATATCAAAGTATGTGGGCTGCACGCGTGCATATCTTGTACCATCTCCCAACACAAGAAAATTAACTAGATAATAATATTTAATTTAATTTTAAATATAAGATTCGTTATAAAAATAAAAGAAAAGTAAAGAAGAAGATTAGAGAAGTAGAAAGAAGAATTCCATTTGGGATACCGAATACATAATATATACTCTCTATTTATAGGTATAGTTTTATATTTTTAACAGAAATCTACAGATTATATAATAATAAAAGATAATTATATAATATAAAGATATTAGAGATGATAAGAAATAATAAAAAATACTACATCCAATCCTAATTATAAGAGCTAGTTGACTAATTTGAGGAGATTAAGGAAAGAAGTTAAGTTAGTTATTTGTAATAAATAGATGTTGTCTTTTCAAAAATATCCTTGCTGATCAAGTGTATTGGTTAAAACTACTATTGTTAGAAGGACTAACTTGAAAAAAATACATAAATATGATAGACAAAGTGGATTGGGATCTTATATTAAGGATCAAAATAAAAGTCAAACAAGGTCTTATATTAAGGACCGAAGGTAGTATATAGACATGCACGAAGATATTATTATATTCATAACAAAATTCTAATTTACTATGTTTATGTATTTATCTATTTTTTTAAAATAGTTTCTATTGAGATTACATGCGCTAAAGGTTCCATAAAAAAAAATTCTTGTCTACAATTGAAGCACTTACTCATTTATGCTCCGGCCTAGCCAATTAGAATATAACAAATCACAACATTTTAATCTTAGCTGACTGCCAGGTCATCTTTAATTATTAAGCAATTAAGATTTCAATTAAAATAATAATTATAAGAAAAACTCAGGGATATCAATCTGCATCAGAAAATTCCCATCGAAGAACCCTAACCTCTACATTCGAGATTCAACGACGTTTGCCCTCTTCCTAGTGACCTGAGACGAAACTTGAGCTCTTAAGGCTGGAGGTCTCTTCGTGAGTTTGCGGTGGGTAAGTTGCAATTTTTGTTTTCCTTTTTCTTTTATTTTTGATCGAATAAGAGGCTATTTATCCTCATCTTCCTCTCCCTGGCAACCGTCTTGCAATTAGAGACGATGTTTAAGCCCTGAAGGCTGAAGGTTCTTGACGAACCCTTCTTATCGTGTTTTGCTTCGATTTGTGGCTGGTAAGCTGTGATTTGTAGATACAAGTGAGTAATGAAATCATGTTTGAAACCCAAAACCCTAACTTAAAATCAATATTCAAAGATTTTAATAACACTTTTACAGTCATTGTGTCTTCAAATCAGAAGTATGAACCATGGAAGTATTTTAGAATTCCTACCTAGAGTGTTACAACCACTAGAGCCTCTATCGAAAAAATCATTTCACTAAGATTCTTGAAGTTTCACTGAAATAAGATGTTTGTTATTTGACTTAATTGATAATGAACTGAGCTACGATAAGAAAAATCCTACCTATCATCAAGGCATTTGATTTGATTTATTTATCATTTTTCCAAGTACTTGCTTGCATTTTGGCGGTCCAAAATGCTCTGGAATATTTGAGGATTATTGGGGCCTTGAACCAATATCATTGTTTATAACTTTGTATCTTCTACAAGGCGTCTTTATGGCTGGTGAGTTTAACTATACTTATAATTTCAGTTGCCTTGTTTTGTTTATGTGAAATCATTTTACTTGTAATGGTTACTGTTTTTGCAAGAATTTCTATTCAACCCGCACACCTGGATTGTTTTTCATGTACTTCAGGCACATAAATTCCTCTTGCATTTGAAAATACGAAGTGGGTTCTTCCAAAATATTATATGATGTGGTTGTTAAGACTGGCGATAATGTTTTTCCAAAATTTTGTGATGTTTATTCTGTTTCTAACTCTTCACAGAATTTTTAGGCCTAAATTCCATTTGAGTAAATTGTCTATGTAGATTATAAAGAAACTTGCCTAGTGTCTGTATGGTTGTCTGGCTTGATAGTCCTTGCTTTTTCATTGTAATTGACAATTAGTGTTAAACCTTCTTTTTTTAACCTCATCAAAATGTGGCATTGGCATTATGGTCTCGTGTAGGTATGAAATTTCAGGGGAAGAGAATTATACAACATGGCATGCTGGGTAGGTGAGAGGAGGACGTGGCCTTGCTGAAATCTTTCAGTACACGAGGCATAATAGGTAACAATGTGATTTTGACATGGAAAGCTTTTGAGAATTGAAGGGGATGATGACTTTAGTTTGACTTCAATGGGCTTGGTGCTGACTAAGTGACTAGCTAGTTTGTTGGCATAGTTTGCTGTATAGGCTGCTACTATTTAGTATATGTAACTTGCTGTCCAGAAATGTTTTATGCAATGTTGCAATTGAATGTTTGTTAATTTGGTGTTGTAACATGACAGTTGATTGTTTCAATGGAATGCCTTTGATTTGGTGTTTAGATAGTTGATTCTTCTTCTAGATATAGTTATGCCAAGATTCATAACAAAGAGTTCTAAAAACTGTACAAAAATTCTAGTCGTGTCAAATCTGGAGAGCAAAGCAACATTTCAATTAATTGAATTAACTTTGTTACGTTACAAAATACTACATATGATCAACCATACAATGATCTTGATGGACCAGAACCATGCAATACAGTATTTGCGAAGCAAAACCAACCAAACACGCAGAGTCACGTTCATCCCTAATAAAATAATGAAAACACTAAATCAATCCTTCACTCCTAACTACTATAGCAGCTAAGCAGAAGCCTTGACCCATTTAAGTTATTTTTCTCTCTCCATCTCGTCCCTTAATCTTGCCCAAAGTTTGCTTAATTGAAATCTTAATTGCTTAATAATTAGAGATGACCTGGCAGCCAGCTAGGATTAAAATGTTGTGACTTGTTATATTCTGATTGACCAGAGTACAAATAAGGTGATGCTCTAGTAGTATGCAAGAATTTCTCTCCATCAAAAGTCAATTGTAATACACATAATTAGCAATGATATTTTAGAAAAGATAATGTATATTTATTATAAGCAACTAATTATATAATTTCTTTAAAATTCATAAATTAGTTATTTAGTTGTTATAGTAAATACTAGAGGCAGTATATTATACTCCCTCCATCCCTTTTTATAAGCAACATTGAAACTCATCACGTAGATCAAAATGTTAGTTAAAATTAGTTAAAGACAATAAATGCATAAAAATTAGAAGTTCTTTCTCTAAATGCCCTTATTTATGGTGGGAGAGCATAAGAGAGAGAATAAGAAAATTATTATAATAAAGAGAATTATCAAAGAGAGAGAATATGTGATGGAGAGATAATGGTTTGGAAAATGAGATAATAAATATATTGACTATTAATGTAATAAGTTATTAATGAGGACAAAATGGGGAATTTGCTATAAAAGTTTAAGATAATTTGCAAATGTTGCTTATATTTAAGAACAAGAGATAGATAGTAGTTGTTGCTTATAAAAAACTTCACTGGTAGGAAAAAGCTAAATATAAGTCATGGTCTTTAATGATTTTTTTTTTTAAATTTTACTCTTTTCAATTCTTCTTAAAAGAGATGAAGATGGGAGAGTTGAGAATGATTTGTAAACTAAAAGAGAGAAAAAATTTTAATAAGGTAAATTTGAAAAATTTATCAATATAATACATTTCTCGATATATGAGAATAAATTACAAATGATTTATAATAACAATTAGAATAATATTTATATAAATATCATTACAATCAATTAACGAGAAACAAGAAAACAACATCGGTTAGTTTAGTATTCGAGCTGTTAGAGTAGAAATATGATATGAATGTGAAAGATATAACAATTAACCAAATACGGATATTTCTTGATCAACATAATAATTTGCCAACATTTCAATGGAAATAGAATGAGAGAGATAATAAAAAAGTATATATTTACACGTTACATCATTTTTTATTTTTAACTAATATTTTTAAATAGAACAGTACTTTATATTTTTAGTTAAATAACATAAACATGGCATTTTAATTTTTTAAAAAATGATTATCCCTTATATAATGCACCGATCGTACTTGCAGTTATATAAATATAACAATTTAACTCCAACAAATTGGAAAGAAGAAAAAACGACTCTAGAATTCCCCCCCCCCCCTTTTCACTCCATTATAAGTATTCAAGAATGTTTTTACAATAATGCGACCGAGTTTTCCCAAACCCCATGTCCTTCCGAAAATAGGTCTGTTTCTTTGTTTTTTTTGGATACAGATGGAAAATAGGTCTGTTTCGCAGGGCGTTGAGGGGCTTAAAAATTACTTATTTCAGCCCACAACCATGTTTGGTATTTCAGCATTGTTTGGTTGGGCTTTTGACCCATCCTACTTATAGGATAAAAGTACAAAAAGCTACTTATAATTTATTAAAAGCTACTTATGAGCCCATCCTACTTGTCACTTACTTTTTGAGGAAATTGCAAATAAAGACCCCCAACATATAAAATAGCAATCAGGGATCCTGAATTTGAGAAATTGCTCACAAGGACCCGGTCTCAATTTACAATTATGAAATCATGACCAAATTAACAAAATACCCCTCTTTAATTTTTTTTAAAAAAAGAACACCACTACCTCGCTGGAGCTCCGCCACCCCGGCTACCAGCCGCCGGAGCTCCGGCGACGGCGGCCTTCCTTTGTTTTTTTTTTTTGAAACTGTTTTTTTTGTTTAAATTGGGGGAAGATCCCCCCAACCTCATGCTTCCCAAAATTAAGAATGACCATCGAGCCAACAAATTTTTACTAACATTATAATACAAAAAAATATATAAGTTAACTCATTTACTCTTGTTTCAGGTATAACAATAATACATTTAGAAATAACAAGTTCTGATTGTAAAATAACACGTCTGGAATGAAATTTAACAATATTTTTTTTTACAATAATAAATTTTGTTGCACGTGATAACAACAAAACATTTGAAAATAACAAGTTCTGATTATAAAATAACAAGTCTGGAATTAAAATTTAACAACACGTTTTTTTATAATAACACACTCTGTTTCAGGTGATAACAACAATACATTTGGAAATAACAAGTTCTGATTATAAAATAACTAGTTTGGAATTAAAATTTAACAGCACCCTTTTTTTTTTATATAACAACACATTTTATTCCAAGTGATAACAATAATACATTTGAAAATAACAAGTTCTGATTATAAAATAAGAAATCTGGAATTAAAATTTAACAACGCGTTTTTTTATAACAATTAATTATTTTATACTTTTGAAAAATAAATTATTTATAACTTATAAAAAGTATTTTTAATCTATTTAATTTGCTAAAAAAATAATTTTTATCTCCAATTTATGATCAGAACTTGAAGTGTAATTTATTATAGATTAAAAATACTTTTTTATTGTTCAACTTTATAAATAAAATTTAGGGAAAATGACAACACACTTTTTTAATTTTTTAAAAAAAAATTTTAATCTATATATCTATACAACTCATTATAAATCAAACTACTTCTTATAAATTATAAATAGTACAATTTATTGTAGATTAAAAATACTTTTTGATTGCTTAAATTTATAAATGAAATTTATCTCTAATTTATAATTAAAAATACTATTTTATTCTTTAAATATAAAAACTATTTTTAATATTTAAAGAATGAAATGATAAATTATACTATATTATTTAAATACTTAATAATAAATTTTAATATTTAAAGAATGAAATAATATAAAAATTTATACTATGATTTATAGATTAAAAATACTTAATTATAAATGCTTTATAATTTATAAGAAGTAGTTTGATTTATAATGAGTTGTATAGATATATAGATTAAAATTATTTTTTAGAAAAAATAAATATATTAAAAATATTTTTATAAGTTATAAATAATTTATTTTCCAAAATCATAATATAAATAATTTTCTAAAAAAAATAGTTGTTAAATTTTAATTCCAGACTTGTTATTTTATAATCAGAATTTGTTATTTCCAAATATATTGTTGTTGTCACCTGAAACAGAGTGTGTTGTTATAAAAAAAACGTGTGGTTAAATTTTAATCCCAGACTTATTATTTTATAATCAGAACTTGTTATTTTCAAATGTTTTGTTGTTATCACCTGCAACAAAATTTACTGTTGTAAAAAAACATATTGTTAAATTTTCATTCCAGATGTGTTATTTTACAATCAGAACTTGTTATTTCTAAATGTATTGTTGTTATCACCTGGAACAAGAGTAAATGAGTTAACTTATATTTTTTTTTGTATTATAATGTTAGCAAGAATTTGTTGGCTCGATGGTCATTCTTAATTTTGGGAAGCATTAGGTTGGGGGATCAAATCCCCCCAACCTCACTTCCCCCCAATTTAAAAAAAAACAGTTTCAAAAAAAAAACAAGAAAGGCCGCCGACAATGGCCGGAATCCAACCGCCGGCGGCTGGCAGCCGGGGTGGCGGAGCTCCGGCGTCGGCGGCCGGATTCCGGCGAGGCAAGTGGTGTTCTTTTTTTAAGAAAAAATTAAAGAGGGGTATTTTGGTAATTTGACCATGATTTCATAATTGCAAATTGGAACCGAGTCCTTGTGAGCAATTTCTCAAATTTAGGGTCTCTGATTGTCATTTTATATATTATGGGGTTTTTATTTGCAATTTCCCCTTACTTTTTATTTAATCATAATTTAAACAAATTTTTACTCAATCTAACTTCTATAAACTAACATTTATAAAATTCAATACAACCCTAAATTATATTACCTAATTTAACTTTTGCTCAATTTAATTTTTTTTAAAGTCAAATTAAAAATAAGTTACTTTCTTGCCACTAATTTAAACGTATCCAATGTGTGGAGCCCATGGACCTCCTATCTCTTGGAATCTATTGGACTTGTCGGCATCTAATCATCTCTGTCTCGTTTCATGTTCTCTTTTTAAGTAGTGTTAAATGACCAACTTTTTACGGGAGACTCTCAGATTCTAACAATTCAAGTTAATTTATGTATTTTTTTAAGTAAAATTATAGTAATAATTTTATAAATTGTGAAGTCTAGATCATTGAAATTCAATCCAATGTCGATGAAGGGGGTAGAAAAGAGAAGCTCTTTTCATGTGATGATCCAGCTCCATTAATGGAGCTATTTATCATAAGTAGATTTACGCGAGTCGAGACAGAAATCCGCTCACACACATGTATATATACTTATCTCATACGTTGTAAATCATTATTGAAGAGCTGTTTTTGAAAGTCTCGATCACCATTCCAAACAAAACCTTAATAAAATCAATTGATGAATAGAGCAGAGTGAAAAAGATAAAGAAAGAATTAAAATATGAATATGCACCGTTGAATTTGGTGCGTGCATGTGTGTCGCTTTTCGTGCAGCAGCCAAGAATCCAGGATCTCTCACACGTCCAAAGAAAAAGTCAGATAATATTAGAATAGTTTTA